TTTTATTAAATTTCAACCATATTAAAGCTAGTTTAGTATAATGGACGTATAAACCAGATGGTTCTCTTGACGGATGAGGGAACACACAAAATGAGTAACAACAGGTTATCAAAATATCGCCTGCATGTAGTGTGGTATAGATTCTTCAACCGCGAACAAACAGATATATTACGCATTTATAATGACTGATCAATAATGGATTGATGAAGCAATCCATTAAGGAACGTTTTGTAATTTGGTTGTTAATAATTACGGCGTCAGCGCAGGATCTGGGCTTCCGCGTGTGGCAACACTGATGAAACAGTGTTGCTATAACGAAATATATTCACGTTTCCGAGTGTGATGATTTACTAAATATTTGCGCTTTGCTTATTTGGTTTTCCTGCTGTATGCAATCCGATGTATACATATAACGATACAGCAGGATTTGTTTGTGATTTCATTTGAACAACAAATTACGTTTATCGATCGATTTTCGATCATTGATATTTTTCACGTATTATTCGAGATAATTCGTTATAAATCGAGATAGAGAGCAGTTTAGTTTCAGATGCCAGTTCGAGTCCCTTGCACTTACACTGTTAGGTAGGTATATGAGGAGCTCGGATTAATAAGGCAGTAGAATTATTAACATATAGGCGACTTGCTAAAACGTTAGACATTAGCGATATTTAAATGAAATACCTTATCTTTTTTTAATGATAGTGGAAGAGTTTGGGCTTCACTTTTCAACATCGTGACAAGATGCGCTGTCGACCTATTTTGGCTTTGAATATTCGGAAATCTACAGACTGAAACCGAAACGCGATTAAACTTGCTACAGAATAAAATTGTGACTCATATGGGCTCTTCGACAACCCTAGCCGCTAACGGTGTCAGTCATAGTGTTTAACGTAATATATCATAACTAAAATAAAACATTTTTAACGGTTTAAATCGCAAACATTTTAAATTGCTGCGAAGCATCTAAAACGTAGGGTCGTAGTTCAATAGTATATCATGTTTTTAAAAAGTTAAAAGTGTCTTATTTAAATGTGTACTCGCGAACTGTAGACAATACTTATCTTGGTTTGTTTAATATTGCCCACATAGTAAATACATAATTTCCGTTTATAGAAGTTTAATAGCTAATGTTATGCAGCTTTGTTGTGGTCGTTCGATCAAATGAATAAAAACAATTAATCTTATGCCTAATTAGATGATATCTGCTTAGTACATTCTTTGTTGCGGTTTTTCTTCGCACGACGGAAACGTGTGATTCACAGATGCGTCATGGCTCCGAGTAAATATTTTCATTATTTGATGGGTAAGGTATATAGATACATTTTCTACTTGGTACGAAGCACGACGCAGACGTAACGTAATTCATATTATTTTCGTCTCGTTAGTTACGGGTTTTCGAGAGACCCTAATTAAAACTAGTGCTGCCTTCCTAATTAGTAAAAAATCTACAAGCTACACATAGTTTTAGTCTGTGGATTTCAATCAAAAGCCGAAATAGGTCGATCTTCGAGCAATCGGGGAGCTAGCAACATCTTCTGATGCTGCCGGCCGCTCGTGATGCGCGTGAGACAATGGTATGAAAAGGGATCGGAGTATTTTACCTACCAACAAGTTCGCCTGTCCTCTATGATAAAAGAAACGTCTTATCAATTTGGTACTAAACGTACAGTTATATAAAAACATGGATACCTCCGTACATCTACAATTCTACTGTTAACGAAAATTAGGCCTCGTTGGGCCAGTGGTAGTATGTATGAGCGATAACCAACGGGTTTTCAGTTCTCTGTAATAAAAAAGAAAACTAATTGATGCAATCTAACGATTAACTTTATCCTTGCTCTACTTTTGATTCTTCGAAACCTTTCTTTCATAAAAAAGTTTGAAATCATATCAACCGTTCGCCTTTTTAGGTAATAACGATGTCCAGCCGTTTCCTTTCGAAGCCGAGATCGCCAAAAATCCTCGTCGAGCGCGTACGAAACGGTTGCCCAATAGTTTGCGAAAGATATTTCTCACGAATCTTGCTTAATCGTGTGAGTTATCCACGACAGGCGGTATTGTTTTAGATAAGTTATATTATACGAGTAATCGTCGACTATAATACGATAACAACGTTTCGCAGGTGTCATAGACCTAGTTACAGCGACAAACAATGACATTGGAAGATGAACGGCTGTCAACTTAAATTTTGTATTCACCCAACCCCACACGGTACACCCAATTTCACTATAGGGGTCAAATTGTCACTTTTTTTTAATTATTACGTTAAAGGTAAATAAAAAAATTCACATTAATGTTGTCTGTAGTTTACGCGAGTAGTACACATTTTAATAAAATACTATAACGGTTAAAAACGCGGAATATATTAGTTAAATTTATGTGAAAATATTTTAACTAATGCCCGACGTTGCGGATGCGTTGCAGCGGCCGTGGTCACGAGGAGACTGAATCTCCGCGTTTTAAACCGTTTAAGTGTTTTATTTAAATATTGCCATTTTTTTTAAGTATTCATAATATAGAAAATATTTAATTATTATTTCAACTGCGGTACTATACTATCACATTATTGTTGTCCTAATATATTACAACTATATTTCAAGATTCAATATAAGATATACATAGTTCAATATTGCTAATAAGTTTTATATCGGTTGAAACTCCCTAATGTCCCACATACACTGTTTTTAATGAGCTCTACTGCAAGAGGAATAAGATTCACAATCGCGTAATTATTAATGTAGGTTAAATATCGGGTACAACTTTCTACAGTTGTGTAATCTTATGCAAAACAAGTTTGTCTTGTCTTAAAAATATTGGTGGATTAACGTCGCGTCTCTACCTCGGGGCTTCGGGTTTGAGATCCGCTTTGAAATAAACCGTGGCTCAGTTGTTGATTGGTATCGAAGAAAAACCACCACCGCCAGTAGCGTAGCTAGGTGGACAAGGGCCCCGGTCTACCTAATTCTAAGGCTCAAGAAAGAAACGGGTCCTCATCGCCTCTATAACAAAATTATATGTAGCAACAATAACGTTAAATCTTCTTAATCGCTTATATCTTATCAAAGATAAGGTTAGAGGGCCCCTAAGTTCCGGAGCCCTGGTGCCCTCACCACCTAGCTACGCCACTGACGACCGCCCGTCTGAATATGAAATCCTTCAGTGAAACGGACACAATAATGTGTCCGTTATAGTCTTACAAAAGATATACAGATATTCTTAGATAAGCTTTGTAAACACCTTGTATGTGTTCATTAATTTTATTCTGCTTTAGGAACTATATAAAGTTATAAAAACTACGATGTCCTTGTAATTTTGATTGATTTATTTACATAAACTGTTAAAGGTCGTAAAACTTTAAATATTTTAACTATCATTAACTATGACCCGACGCTTTGCAGCAACCGAGAACCCTACAAGTGTTTTATATGAATGTGTACTATATTCTCGCGTTAAGCAGACGTATTATTTGTAGGAACGCTTATTAATTTTAGACGAATCTAAATACATATAAGAACAAATCACATAATCAAAGAATCCTTGAATTATGACGTAACAACACACATAATATATTTTATCTCATGGTAATCATAAGTCGTGACTTTAAGTTAGCAGCTTTATCTGGTTTCTTATTTTTTGTTATATTCAATTGGTTTAAGTTAGAATCATGCGCATGTCCTGTAAAATTTCAAGTAAAATCTGAAACCACTTGCTCGGTTACGAAATTATTGTGGTTATTTAAAGCATATTTTATAATGAGACATTTCAACTGGGTCTAGGATCTAGGTCTAGGTCTAGCAGTTCGATTCGTATGCAAATTTCGTCCAGGTCGTGTACCACCACAAGTGAAAATGCACGTTTCGGTTTCAGTACATTTCTGTAAATTTTGAACGTCCACAGCCGAAATAGGTCGACGACTTGTTGAGTTTCATTTTCCATCGAGTGAACCCCTCCTCGTCTGTCATCCTCTGCCATGAACAGCCTATGCCTTTTGGTTTCCGCAATTATTTATAAATAATATGAATGCCGATTCGTCGTCAATGAAACGTGTTATATGTTGCCTTGCGTCAAGGCATTTGCACCGGTAGTATTACGACCGTGATCTTTGGTACTTTGGACTCATTATCTTAATTTGACGCATTAATTGAGGCTATAAGTCCTAGTAAATAATGTGAAACTTGAAATATCACGAGGCAACAGGCAACAAACAGCCAAATGTTGGCATTGGTAAGGTTATCGATATAAAAACTTTCTCTTTGCCACGACAGAGAATAGTATTAATAGTGACCTGGTAGAAAAAAAGGGTGAGAAATGGACTTCAGTATTCCTTAAGTTAAGTTCAGAGATCCTGGATATTAAATAGTAGAATTCCCTCCGGCTTACGAACCACCGTTCAGATATGACAGATCCGTGGAGTTTAATTAGTAGTAATAGTGTGGGTAGTTTGATCATCTAGCAGGTATCGATCGCAGGTACGATCATCCGAAATCGATAATTTTGTTTGTTGTAAGAATAAGATCAATTCTCTTTACGAGTTCTTCCTAAGTCACAATAATGATTGATCCAACAAAACGATATTATTAAAACACATTATGTTCATATATTTTATCGAAATCAAACAAGCATATACGAGATTAACAGGATCCGAATCTTCGTGTCATTTAATTTAAATTATTAAACCTCGCACTTCACGAGTTAATTGTCAATATTAATGTCAACCCCAGAAGTGGGCACTTTACGGCTCATATAGCACACAAGAATCTCAAACGATTTTTTCCTTTATCCTTCGCAGTGGTCCTTAGCCGTGACCTTTTAAAGAAATAATTGTTATTTTCTCGTTGCAGAGCTGGTGCTGCGCGTACGCAGCCCGTAAGCGGAGAGCCACCAGACGTCAGTCGACGCGCGACCATCGCAGGCGTTACGCGTGATGTGTGTTCTCGATTGATTCCCATTGGATTCTGTGATCGTGTGTGTTTGTGCGTGTGTGCCGGAACGTCAAGATGCAGGGCCGCGACAAACTCTGTGCAAAGTTGACGAGTGCCTTCCTTCGGAAGTGGTGTAAGTAGTCTTTGCGTACTCGCTGTCTAGTTCCGTTATCTTCGTCTGCTCGAGGTGTCTCTCGAGCCGACGAAAGCAAAAGGGCGGGATGCCACGGTGCTTATGCAAATCGACGAAGGACGTTCACCTGATGGCTGAGCAGTTGAACAAACCTTCAGACTTATTCTTGAAACTAGTCTCCTGTTAAGCTCAATGAAGAGTGACTACAATTCGCTACTACACTTACAATATAATACATTAGTATTATATTATTATATAAAAGTATTATCTATCCTTTTATTAATTTATTACTATAGTTAACTATCGTAGTCGAAATATATATTATTTTGTTTTTACTTCAAGAGTAATTCTTCTGGTAGTTTCTGGTGCAAGCTGCTATATTTAACACATATTTCGTAAACAGGTACGTCAACCTGTTGCTGTCTAGCTGTCGTAAAAATTGTAAATCGATAAGGAAAATCTAACTGTTTCTAGGCTTCTGCGATATTTGAATTTTGTACTCGTCTTATCGTAAAGGCTAAAATGGTTGCAATAACATTATTACTTCTACGAGGGTAATCTTAATTAAATGTGGTTTTTACTTTCTGACATTGTACTTATAGACATAATGTAGTCACTTTTAACGGTTTAAAACGCGATATGTATTAGTTAAGTACGATCCGACGTCTTTTATTGACTACTCGTAAATTATACACTATTATTTAATATTAACTGTATTAATCTTAATTAAATGAAACTTGTCTCAGTTGAACTTGAACCATGTCCATGTCAATAATTGTCAACGTCACGAACTTTTTGCCATCAAGATAATGTGACTTCTTAATTGACGGAGCTCTTAAGATTTTCATATTTTTTATCGCCAAGAGTCGTATATTTGTTTCCGCGAAGTTTTTTTACGCTATCATAAAATGCTTTAAAGTTGAAACTCGTTTTAGATGTCATAATGTAATATATCGAATTATATTTGACCTTTGGTCGACGAGGTAAATGAGCAGTGCGACTGAGATGTGCTGTTTTGCCGATTCTCATTTGAATTGAAATATTAGGTAATGGCACTTCGTTACGTTTGGAAAAGGTGTATCGTGTACTTTGCTGGCTGTTCGTGATAGTAGGCTAAAATTTTCACTAATTGTGTATAATTCTATTCCCGCTTGGCGCTTAACAACAAGTACATAAAACAAAGTAAAATCCACAATGGTTCTTGAATGGGTTTTGTACCCGTATTTAAATAAAACGTTTTAACGGTTTCAAACGCGGAATATTTAGTTTACTCATTAACAATTTATTGTAACGTTGAAACGTTCCGGATGTTTTGCACCAGCCTTGGTTTGGTCCCGGGATAAAAAGTATTTAATTTAAATGTACTTAGTCCCCGTATTAAAATAAAAATATTCTAATATTGCATAATTGAATACCGTTACTACTCTTCAGTAATACAAAGATGTTTGTTTTAATTTTATAAACCGCATTGTTCTACGGCGTCGGGATATTATGATAGCGATTGTTGCATCGAATTCGTTTTCGTGACTTTTAAATCGTTTTCTTTTAAAAGTAGGTACGGTTTAAATAAAAAGGACGTTTTCAATATGTCTAGTCTTAAAACTGAAACTAATTTCAATTAAAAAGCTCTATATGATTTAAAATTAAGCTTATTTAAGCAATATGGTTTAGGGAATCGCAATTTACTTTTAACATTATAGAAATATAAATAATCACTTTTAAATGCTGTTGATACTGGAAGGCTCCTGACTTATAAAGATTACTATTATGTAATGAATGTAGTATAATAGTACCCTCAGGTTATTATTATATATCATTTTATTTCACGATATAAAGATTTGGGTCAAATGTTTGCATATTTCGGAGCACAAAGGGATATTTGATTTGAAAATTCGTTTCGTGTATAATCCGATTGTTTACAACCATTACGGGGATTAAATAACAATAATTCATTGTTTTGTTCCATTGTTTTAGTACAATGCGTCAGTCGCGACACTCGCTTTTATCTAAACTCCACGATATCTCGACTTCTGATGTTCCCTGGATCGCACAATACTTAAAGCTGTTTACGACTAATAAATGCATTTTATAAAAACATATAATTGTATATTATTCATCGCTTTTAAATAAACGTTATTATTTTTTCTACGCAAATTATGAAAGTAAGTATATGTTTATAGATTCTCGATAAGTGGCTTTATCTAAAATAGGTCTTCATTTGACTCTTTAATTACTTATTTGTTAAAAATATCTGTTACTGCTACTCTTTCTTAAGTAACAAATTGTTTTAATTATGGTCTTGATTATAATATAATAAACTGTCCAAAGAACAGCAAACTATATGTTAAGTGTTGTTTGTAGTTAACGCGAGTGTCCTACATTTAAATAAAACACTTTAAACTAGATAAACTTTAGATCTAAGGTTTTGGAAGCTTTATGCTGCAAAGCATCCGAAACGTAGTATTGTTATCCGTCGGGCCATAGCGAAAGTAAATTATATTCGCGTTTTAAGCCGTTGAAAGTAAGTTTATATAAATAAGTACATATCGGTTCTAGGTGGCACGGTACGCCTTAAGAACGTGTCTATAAGAATATGTAGGCTGATTGGGTCAATGTAATCAGTTTATTCTCCATTAAAAATGAATTAATCCTTCTCTTCTACGAATTAGCCTGATTAAAAAAAAACAAACGCCTCACAATATTTTCAGAAGGCAATTATTTCCAAACCTTTCCGGTTGCATTTTACGATTTTATTTAAGTGTACTTAAAATAATTTTTATGCGCAGTAAAAATAGAAATTTATGATTGTTCCTAGGTATTACCGTTTTGTATATCTTACGATTTACTTTTACGAATCGAGCGTAACCCATTGTTACTCTTGTTTCATTGTATCTACTTGTTATAGAATAAATATTGAGTATGTTGAAGCATTAAGTATCGGAATTATACAATGGGAGGATGTGTTTTTTGCTCCTCTAAAAGGTGTATGATGATCAAACAACTGAGACTTATAAAAACAGTACTGACGCAAGTGCTTTAGGATTGAATATTTCTTAACTTATAATCATAATATAGGATTTTATTTTCGTTTAACGATTGCCAAGCAAAATGGACCCTGTAAATAGCCCAATTAAATACCGTCTGTAGTTAACGCGTGTAGTACACACTTAAATAAAACACTTTAACGGTTTGAACCATCCTTATTAATTCCTCTTAATATTTTGCTTTCATTTGCAAACTTTAATATTTTTCACACGTTACTGCACATGATATCACGATATAAATTAAAAATCGATTATAATTAAAAAGAAATAGTATTCGGTAGCAATTGGTTAAAGCATCAGCACAAAACGCTTCTGATGCCGGTTCAAATCCTGACCGAGTCGTAAATTTAAAAATATGTATATAATCTATTCTTATTTATATTATTTTCATATTACCATTATTATTCACATTAATTTATTTTCGGCCGTCAAAGTTCCATTGATTTGGCACGGTTTAAGATTAAGTGTCAAAGTCTGTGTTATACTCGTATCCAGTATGTTCTAAGCAAAAACAGAGTCGATAAGGTCTTTTTAATCTGTACTCTGTACCAAGAATATATTTAATCACGACGAGATCCGAAGCGAGTCTGTAAAAGAGAAAAAACTCGCCTCGCAAACTTGTTCCCCGATAACTTTTAATGCAAATAACAAGTGCGTCAATGGCAGCATATTTTTAGAACGGAGCTAGAACGACGAAGCCTCTTCGCGTCTACTTGAAGTGGTCGTTGCGATACAAACACTGGTTTAAGGTAAAAGCAAAACTAGACATGACATTTATTCGGAATATCTGGGTTTCTGTTGGGGGAAAGACAATACTTATATTATATTTCCTGAGTTATATTTGCAAAGTTAAAATTTAAAATGTAGCCTAAGAATTATTTCTTTAATCATTACTTTATCTTTTGTAAAAGAACAAAAGATTTTTAATATGAAGTCTGTGGATCGAAGCGATAGGAACGAATAGTTACTCGGACTACTCTATCAGCTTTAGTGGCTTTAAAATGTTGACAATTGAAATATCCGATATACCCGTGGCTCAATAGAACTTGAGAGAAAAACAAAAAACGCAAGAGTTTTATTTGATGTCTTAAAAGGTTAAATGCTCAGACATCCAATCCATTACCTTCATATTCTTAGTACTGGTCAAAACCAAAAATTGTGTTCTTCTTATTTCTTTGTATGAAATTCGCTTTGACTTTTTGTGTTTATTGCGACCATGATGAATTTAATATTTCTCGTTGCCAACTGATTTAAGTTGTATTTCTGTAGTTTTTCTCTTTTTTCGAACGTTGTATCGTTTTTCTCATTGGATCAAGTTGCATACGTTAGGTACATTATTATCTCAATGACAAAATTACATATTGTTAAGTAAACGGAGTTGTTATTATGTGCGGAATTGAAAAGTTTTTTTTTTTACCGTCCATCCCCGGAAAAGCAATGGAATTTAGAGAAAAAAATACACATTTTAAATTGATGTAAGTTGCATATATAACCAAATTTTTTATGCAATTACTTAGTCTTTACTGTCTATACTTTCCTGGCTATCAAAATATATAGAAGTCGATACTAATTTAAAATATCTAAAAGAGTTTACGATATGACCCTACCCCGTACCCTAGTCAATGCAACAGAAACTTCTTGGTGGTTCCAATAATATTTTCAATGCTTTCGAATATCACCAGAGTTATAGATCACTAGCTGATCCGGAAAACGTTTTTTTTGTATGCATGGTACAACCATAACAAATAATTGGTAATAATGCATTAATTGCGACAAAATTTGATTACCTACCATAAAACGTTCCTTGCGAGTCTATCTTAAAACATAGGCTTTCGCAAACATTTTTTTAGAGATTTTTCCACATTTGACGGTTTCTTCGCTTCGTAACGTATATAAACGATAATAGTTATGCCTAGATGGTCTAACCAACCATCCAAAATAATTTCAATTCGAACC